TCAATTATTAATTTTGAATTTTCTTTTTTCTAATATTTTTTGCATCATAGATAATATTTAAGCACATCCCATGAACGATCAAATTTTCTCATTCAATTTACATATTTAATATATGTCTAATCTTTATTTGTGGTAGAATTGCCAACAACATATAAGCAAAAGTTATTCTAATACCTATTTAGGCTTATAAATTTAATATATGCCCATAACCGGCCGGTTCAAGTGGTTTTTGGTTCGATCCAGGTTTTTTGCTTAGCCCTACTAATATCTTGTGAAAAAAAGATTTTATGGGACCGTTACTAACAGTTCAAAAAATTTAAACCGTCAGATAAAGATTGTAGTTTAATTTTTCGATATTCTAACACCCTACAAAGATGAATCGGGTTTTCTAATATCGCAGAGCAGCCGAGAGATTCAAACGTGGAACGCATCTACAAATCACTTGTGCAAAATGGTACGAATTTATCTATAGGAAAGTCATCCGATGTGCAAGGAGCACGCGCTAGGAACTCGGGAGCGCTCGCTAGGAACTCGGGAGCGCTCGCATTGCTCTTAAATCATTTCATTTTTCATCTAGACAGACCAACCACTGGAGCACGGCCCGAATCTTAAGTTGGATTTCGTTTCCATTCGGGGGAAATGAAATGTCCCCCTTTGGATGATGATGATGGTGCTCAACGAGATCGCGATGGAGTTGGATTTTCCCTTCTGGATTTGCTTCGCTCCATGTCTCCCCAAATCAAAGATAAGGCATTGTCGTTACCCCGTGGCACTACATAACACAAGGACAAATCATTTGATTATTACACGATGTACTTGTCCCGAAAAAACGAGTTATACTTGTATAATATCGTAATCATATACTTCCTGGTTAAGAACATCGGGGGAGGGGAATCTCTAGGGCTGCGCACTAGCACTGGCACTAGCGCTAGCGTAGTAGGGTGGGGAGGATGGAAAGAAGCGCCGCAAGGGAGGGAAGGGAGGGAGGCCGACAGTGGTGGGACCGGCGTGGCGGGATTTGGTCGGTGGTGGCGGGGCCCACCCCCGGCGATTCCCCCCCTTCCGACCCGCCCGCCCGCCCGCCCGCCCGCCACGTGACCGCGACACGTGGCGGCGTCGGACCGATGCTGTCCAACGAGGAACGGGGACGACGTTTCGTCGTGGATTTCGAGGAAGCGAAAGAGTGTAGGCTAAGCATTCCTTTTTATTCATTTTTTGTTTTATACATTTTTTTTCCATCGGGTTTCGTAATTTGTCTTGTTTTTTATTCTTTGGGGTGGGGGGCCCGGGGGGGTCCGTGGGACCCATCTGCCCCTTTACCCTCATCGCGAAGTAAAGCATCGTCGTCGTCGTCGTCGAAGTCGTCCGTTCTCAGCGACTCGGTTCGCGTCTTCCACGTTTTTGCTAACCGAAGGTGGTCCCCACCAATTTCGCGTTGGTAAAACGTGGAAATAATAAATAATAATAACACTAAAAAAAAAAAGTTTGGGGAAATTCCAAAAGCAGGCTTGAGGAGACCTTCTCCCCCCTTACTGATGTATGTATGCTACGTACAACTTTTCTAATTAATTAATTGATTATATGTATGCTCTGTTGAGATGCCACGCAAAAACCTTTGTAAATCCCGCCCTCGCCAGCTCGAGTTTTGCAAATCCCTTTAGTTTGGTTCCCCTTTCGATTTAAAATATTTGCGTCCGTATCTTGGCGGTGAAGAGCAGTAATATGAGAATCATGCACCTCATTTTGAAGAAGAGTATTCTCGGTCTCCCAATTGCTAGTCGATTTCTAGACGGGATGCGCTAATCTTATCGTTCGCTCTCATCTCTTGGGAAAGACCAAGGAGAAGATATGTCACGTAATAATCGGTATTATAATAACATCACTATCGGAGCGTTCTTAATCATGCACGTTTTAGTTTTCGCGATCATAACTGTGCGATCAATATTATCACCTCGGCGTTTGGCACTCCATCCGCATGATATAACCGTCGTGTCATAAGCTTTTCCTTCATCTATTCTTAAAGTCCCGCCAGGCTGGTATCACTCCGCAAAAAAAGTGTTTCTTACGTTATAATATCGAAATACTTTGGATATGAATTACGAATAGTTCACTAAACCGAGGGACGGCGTCGTTTCCTAAGGAGCCCCTTAAAAGTTGCAATTTTTTTTTTTGGAAAATACCACCAAAAACCCCAAACTATGTCACTTGTGACAAAATTTACCATGAACTTTTTTTTGTGACACGAAAAACCCCAAACTATGTCACTCGTCATATCCGGCGAGGGTAGCCCTCATCTGAGTCGGGCGAAGTCGCCCTCGCTAGATCTGGCGAGGGCGACCCTCGCCGGCTTCCCTCCGCCATGGCCGGTGGAGGGAAGAGAGAAAAAAAGAAAGAAAAAAAGTAGAAAAGGACGAAAATGCCCATGGACCAAAGTATTGTGGGGTAAATGTGTCACAAGTGGCATAGTTTGGGGTTTTTCGTGTCACGAAAAAAAGTTCAGGGTAAATTTTGTCACAAGTGACATAGTTTGGGGTTTTTCGTGTCACAAAAAAAAGTTCAAGGTAAATTTATCATAAGCGACATAATTTAGGATTTTTGGTGGTATTTTTTTTTTTTTGGTCGAAAAAGTTGCAATTTGCAATAGTGGAGCGAACGATGTATTCGTGCGACGTGCCGGGTCGTGTGGCACGCGACGGGGAAGGAAGGGCGGGCGGCCACGCGGGACACGCGGGTTGAGAAGCCCACGTCATGTTTTGGCGCGTTTGGCAACGGACGTGAGTTGGTCTCCATTCGAGGATAAGGACGGACGGGATCCTGAAACGTCTCGCTCCCGTTTCCCAACGGAACCGCTGTCTGGGACTCCGCTAGACTCCAATTTGTTCCACGCATGAAACATCTCAACCCTACCCTCATCAATGCACCCGTAATGGCCCGTGTCCAATTTTTGCGTGTTTGTCTTCCCTTTGGTTCGACAACCACCTATGCAATTTCACTCGAAGCCACCTTTAGAACAATGGTATTTGCTTGCTCGGTGACCGGCGGGTGCGGGGTACGGAGATCGGTATCCAGACGAGAACTTATGGAGTGCTCCGAGAGTTTTGGGCGTCCCGTTTTAACAATCGATACATGTTGGGCATTTGACTTCGTCGAGGAGATAGATATTGTTACTGCAGGGTCGGACCCTTGTGAATCTTACGTGTTGCTTCCCCTCGAGATGATCGCGCGACAGATCCTGAGATGGGTGACCTCGCTCGATGCTGAACCTGACTACGAATCCTGTAATACCCACGAACCCAACTTGGACCTAAGTTACGGGACAAAAGAGCAAAGGGCGACGTGGCATCAATAAAGCACGCAATATCGCCAATACATGAAATACTTTATGAGAAGAATTAATGGATGGGAAAATGACTCAAATGGTCCCTGAACTTTGGTTTGATGTGCAATGTGGTCCATAAACTTATAATTTGTTCAATGTCGTCCATGAACTATAGCCCAATGTACAGTGTGATTCCTAAACTTTTAATGATTCATGGAATTTTGATAAATGTTCAATTTAGTCACTGAACTATACGAAAATGTTCAATGTTATTCTTGAACTTGAGTTAATGGAAGGCACGTTGAATATTTTTATATAACTCATGAACTAAGTTGAACGTGTACAAAAAATTCAAGGACCCCATTGAACAAATTGAAAGTTGAGGGATCACATCACATATTGAGCTAAAGTTAAGAGATCATATTGTACCATTCGCGTCATTATTATCCCTTAATGGACGAAAAGCAAAGGACCAGTCGGGCAATGCCCTCGTCCACCAGGCCCTTGCTAATGAAGCCAGGATGGGCCGAAAATCTACATGCTCGTGCAGGGGCCCAAATGGCCGGTGTCAATAATGGCATTTGGACCGACCCTCATAATTGCATTCTTAGTTCTACTTACCTAAAATTAAAAAGGTCCATGGTCCACACAGCTCCACATTTTACGTCACATGAAATTTCGCGTTAAGGAAATCGGACCCCGTTCCCATCGCTCCAGTCACCAACCGAAGACCCCAGCGCCAACGCGGGTACGACCGCCTCGAAAGTCACGTTTTGTGGTCAGGACTCGAGAGTCGTCGCTTCGGCTGCACTCCATCTTTCGCTGCATTTTCCCTTCTTCGCAAAAAATCCTTTGCACCAGTATCTCCTAAATTACTAAATTAAATTGACTGGAATTGAAATCCGCCCTTTCCTTTTTTTTAAAGTAAAAAAAAGTACATCAAAAAATCAGTTTAATTCTTGAAATTGGGGAATTTTCTTTTTTTAGTTTTCGAAGCGGGTTTCATGATTCTTAATAACTGCTTTTAAAATCCGATTTTTTTTTTTTCAAAACACTCGAGAGGCGTGTGCTTATGCATTTCTTGTACTCCACCGATTATTCACTGCCCGTGGAGTGATGCAATGTAAGACTACAAAGTGGATATCTATGTATACTCGAAAAAACTCAAACATTTTATTATTAAAAACTAAGGGTGCAATTGTTTTGTTATAAATGAATGATTAAAAATGATCACTTACGAATATATATGAACGAAAAATATTTTCATTATCTACGAAAATATTTGGGTATAAATTGTTGTTGATAATAAAAATATTTTTGTTAAACTAATTTTTTTAAACGGTAGGAGCAATTACTTTTTTTGGAAATTTTTTTCTAAATCAATTCATTTTCTGTAAAATAAATGGAGATTAAGTAAATATGTTATTTTCCTTTTTTCACATTTTTCGATGCTTATTTTCTATCTGCTTTCCGTGCACACTCAAAATTGATATTTTATTTCCACAAAAAAATAAAATAAAATAGATATCTTACATGTCAAATCTTGGAAAAATTAATTACTCTTGTGGGGAGAGCTGGAAATGTGGCTGTCCTTTTAAAGAATTTTTCCCCGGAAAATCTTTGACTTTTTAAATTTACCTTTGCTCCTCCCTCTCCCTCTGTCTCTCTCTCTGCATATATATATGACCGGCGAAGCGGCAGACGAAGGTTGCATTCAATGGCGGCTTCCACAGCGGGATCCTCGCTGCCCCTCCGATCGCGAATCCCCTCCTGCAAATCCTCCTGGCCCGACCACCGGCCGAGCGGCGCGGCGGCCCTCGCCGCTCGCGGCGGCCGCGGTCGCCCGGGGCGGCGCGCCGCGTCGCTGTCGATGGCGTCCCCGAGGGAGGAGAGCAGCAGGGCCGGGGCGAGGAGCGACGTGTTGTCTCAGGCGCTCGTGCTGAACAGAGCCCTCGAGGGCTCGAGCGGCGGCGAGAATGGCCACAAGGACGCGCACTTGTTGCCCAGTACGGAATCGGCGCCGTCCCCCCCTTTCGATTTTCATAGTTTGCTTCGATTACGGTTATAAAAGAGCTTCCTTTGTCGTTCTTCTGATCCTGTGTTCGTCAATAGGGCCTTTGTCTTCGGTGCAGAGCTCCAACCCCAACTCCGGCGGATCTCGCCTGCGGGTTGCTTACCAGGTAAGATATTTGTCCGCACGACGTTGATGTAATCCAAAGTCCAGCTCGTTTTTTATTAATTTATTCGTTCGTTTGAATGTCTCTTCGGTCGGTAGTTAATGTATTGGCAACGTGCTGCAGGGAGTTCGCGGCGCGTACAGCGAGTCTGCGGCGGAGAAGGCTTATCCGAAGTGCGAAGCAGTGCCGTGCGAACAATTCGACACCGCTTTCCAGGTGAGCCTTTCGTACATATATTTTTGGAATTGAGTATGTCTGTTGAATCAAGGAAACTGGTCAAGGCGAGTTATTTGCATGTCTATTCTCTTGCTCGCCGGTTATCGCGAAGCTGATGGCATGCGGAGTGGTTGGGGTTAGTTGGTAAAGAGAAGAAATTATAAACAATTGTTTTCTGAACTCATAAGGAGGAATTCTGCGTACAGATTCATCTTGAAACAGGAAAGAGGAAACAAATGGTGTTAAGGATGAAAGGATTATGGTTATGCTTTTCCTTTGGCCTCTCTGGCTTGACTTTATCGAGAAATATTACTTTTTTAGGCCAAGATCCAATGTCAAATCAACAACAGGTCTATAGGAACTTTTCACCAAAAGCCTTCCTGGTAGATGAAAATTAACCATTGGAAACAGAATCTTCTGGCTTTGTCGGTGCTCGAAATACAAACAATGTAAAACTATGAGTTAGATGAATATCTAATAGAGGACTTCACAGATTTCTCCATGGTGGGATGCTCTTGTGGTGGTGCTCGTTTAATCCCATGCACTAGTGCGAAGTTAGAATCTACCCAAGAGAATCCTGATGGATATGCTTGGTGCCAGGGGTTGGGGCTCTCCTGGCGCCTCTTAGGGATTTAATTCTCACAATCCTACAACGGGCGCAAGTAAAGATCGCGTGGGTTTACCCCACAGCCATCAGAAAAATAAAAGTACTTCACGCAGACTTTGCACATTTATTGGTCTCTTACTTTTCATGGTATATAATTGCTAGAGAGTTGGTAAACCTTTGTGAACAGCCAGGGCTATGGACCAAAAACAGAGTTAGTCTTGTGTATAGATTCCTCAGTTTTTCCTTCTTCTATTTCTCCCTGCAGGCTGTTGAAAAATGGCTAGTGGACAGAGCAGTTCTTCCAATCGAGAATTCTTTAGGTGGAAGCATTCACCGAAATTATGACCTGTTAATCCGGCACAGGTTGCATATAGTCGGGGAAGTGAAGCTTGCAGTAAAGCACTGCTTATTAGCGAATCATGGTGTTGAAATTGGAGATTTGACTCGGGTTCTTAGCCATCCACAGGTACTAATGCATCGCTTATTGATTGGCTTCCCCTACTTTTAAGTGAAAATTAATTTTTATATGCGTTTTCCATTTTCAGGCTCTTGCACAGTGTGAGCACACGCTGACGAAGATGGGCCTAGTCAGAGAAGAAGTGGATGATACTGCTGGTGCTGCAAAGGTATAGCCTGTAATTTTAACTAAAGCTACTTATTGTGGCTAAGTCTTCCCTCCCTCTGAACAGTCATGTATCTAGGGTTGGTGATTATTTCATAATTGAAGTTCTTGGGTTTCATTTTCATTCTAGAAAGTCTCTATAAAAGTTGAGTGTGTGAAAGTATCGATCTAGATCTCAATTTGACCATAGGAGGGTCCTGTCTATAATATTGTTGTGACTGTCTACTCGTTTGATTATGTTATGCTTTAACTGTTTTGGTAGATCATCCTTGTTGAGGTTCCAAATAATAAAACATGAAAAGTTCATCTGTCATTGTATTGTGTTCAATGATAAACTGGAAAGTTTCTGTCTCTGTAGAGTCTAAATAGAATTGCAACGTGAATGATTTGATTTTCAATCAACTTGCAAATCCCTTTAAGGTGAATTTAATTGGGTTAGATATGAAATGCATTTTCCTTATCCAGTCATGATATCGTCTCACGTCTGCTCTGCTGAATTTTCGCATGCACCATAGATCATGATGCACTGCTGTCAGGTTTACCTTAGAATTCTCAGGGTATGTGGCTAGAGCAGTCTAGGATACCATCAATATTTGGCGTAGATATCAATACGTTTAGCAGTTTTAGTTACTTGAAATGCATGGCCATTTTCTTGTTCTAACTGGCTTGTAGTTCCTCTGAACTTTCAGCATATTGCTTTCCACAATGTAAAAGATGCAGGGGCCGTTGCTAGTGCTACTGCAGCCAAAATCTATGACTTGAATATACTTGCTAAAGACATTCAGGTTTTTATCTTACTTTTATTTGTCACTACTTGGTATGATTGCTGAAATATCTCAAGTCCATTCTGTAATCTTTTGCCTTTAATAAATAGGATGATTCTGATAATGTTACTCGATTCCTTATGCTGGCGAGGGAGCCCATTATTCCTGGCACCGATAGGCCCTTCAAGGTTACTCTTGGGAAACTATATTTACGTACTCTTTTTTTCCCTTCAAGTCCATTCTGTATTCTTTTGCCTTTATGGACTATTCATCTTTCACTGTTCCTTTTGCTACCCCAACTTCTGCTAAGTACTAATGATATTCCTAATGGCCTCTCAGACAAGTATAGTTTTCTCACTGGAGGAGGGTCCTGGAGTCCTTTTTAAGGCACTTGCTGTTTTTGCTCTACGGCAAATCAACCTTACAAAGGTAGTCTTCATTTTCCTTTCCAGAAGTACCATCAAATTATTTGGATTAATCTGTGATGCGGCTTGGACAGATTGAAAGTCGTCCCTTGAGGAAGCAAACTCTGCGAACACCTGATGATACCAGCAATGGTGCTCCGAAGTAAGCTTCTTAAAATATTAAGCTGCATTTACTATTGAAAAGACAGACCTTGTAAATTTATGGCTGTTTAACTCTCTCCTTGTCGTTGTGGCACTGTGCACCACTGCAGATACTTCGACTACCACTTCTATGTTGATTTTGAAGCGTCCATGGCTGATGTAAATGCACAGAATGCCTTGAGGCACCTTAATGTATGCATAATTCCTTTCCTCTTCAAGTTTAATACTTCCGGGCTCTCATCTTTTTTATGCTTTAATGCAATTCCTTCACTGGCAGGAGTTTGCTACATCCTTGAGAGTTCTGGGGAGCTATCCAGTTGATACTAGCATGATCTGAGAGGGCCACTACCTTGATACGGGTATGATTTCACAAGTGAACACTGACGAATTCTTTTTCCCTTGATTTTTGGTGTCAAATGATTGAGTTGTTTGATTCAACTTCTATGTACCTGCTAATTCACCTATCCAATGAACTACTTAATTAGACACACAAGTTGAAGACCCACACGAATCCTACTCCACTATGTTGAATTTGTGTGGGAGTCATTTTTATGCGTGGCAAAGTCGTGGCAATTATTTATGCAACTAGGTTGGGGAAGGGGGGGTGGGCTAGTTATGTGATCGTCAAAAGTTGACGTCAGATTCATTTCAGGAGATCCTTCCTGTTACAATTCTCTTAGCCTCTTTGTCATTTCAATACTGATACCCCTCAATAGCACCAACAGTTTGATTTTTCGGGTGCCTTGGGATTCGGGCTGTATTTTTCGTTGTGATACTTCTTCTTTTAATGTGTGCACGGCATGGCGATACTTTTTTTTTTCCCCTTAAGCATTTTTTTGATGGTAAAATTCATTCCCTCTTTTGCAGGCTGTTGGAGGCTTTTGCGAGACGCACGAGAAGTGGTTAAACCTTCATTTGATCTCGAGGAATCTTATTCTGTCTATGAATTTGTCAGGACAAAGGCTGCGGTTATCGTTTTTGTTTATAATTTCGTCAATGTTCTAATAGGTTATTATATTGAGAGCGAAAATGTTAATAGGTCTTTTGTGATTGTCTGAGCCAAAATGTTAATAGGTCTTTTGTGATTGTCTGACTTTTTTTTTTTTGGTCGAATGTGATTGTCTGACTTCGAAAGGTCAATAAGAATAAGATTATTTATTCTTTACAATTGCTGGCTCCCATCCCCACTGCATCTCCAAGAAAATTTCTGGCTGGGAAGTTAGACAGGAAAGATTCCAACGCTGAGGGAGGATTCAACCAACGAATATGTGCTTAGCCAAGAACAAAATGACTCTCTCTCTCTCTCTCTCTTCCAGCTAGAAATTTTCTTGGATTCATATTTCATACCGAGACCATGCTAATGCTACAACTATAAATTGGATTGATACTGAGAAAACTGAGTGAAACCGGATCCAGTGATCTAGGATGTAAAGCCGAAGGTACTTCCTTCTTTATTCCTTGTGATGGGGAGCCTCCAATCGAAAACTGTTCGTCCCGGTCCCAAATCCTTTGCGGGTGACTGAGGCTGAGAGAGGTTTTGGAGTGAAAACCCAGATGACGACTTTCTAATAAGATGTTCACGTGTAAACTCATTTGCCTTCTGAAGCTGATCTCCAGGTTTCATTTGTTCTGTATAGCGTAGTCATTGTACTGGAATCAGCACGAGTACTTTTATGAGTTCAAAGCTTTTGTAGACTATCTTCTTTGCAAAGTAACAAACGTCATATCAAACTCTCTCTGAATCAACACATCGTGAACATTACGATTTTAGCAGCGATTTCTACTTGCGAAAGACAATCAGAGTTATAATAGATTGTCCCCAATCAAAAGCATGCCCCTAAAACAAAACAGATGATCCTTTCACCCAAAGAGCAGAACTAAAAACTGTACTTTCACGAAGGTGCAAGTTCACATGGAAATTGAAGGTACATATATGAAGAGTTGAAGTCTAGGACACATTGCAGTCGCACTAGAATACCCTGAATGCTACTAACATAACACCCCTCAATGCTACGTACTCTCCGACCCGGAAAAGAATAAGAAAAAACACATTTTTGCTAGTCATTGAGAAGAGTGTGAGGGATAGAGCCAGGATGTCATGAATGCCCAAGTAGATCTGACCATCCTTTGGATTTCAGAAACACAAAAAACATCTCTAAGATCCTTTGCAAGAACCCACCTTTGGAGAAATTTTCTCCATTCTTCCTGAGCCGATGAGACACCCGAATGTCTTTCCAGGTAAGCCTCGTCACGCTGGTATTCCGTTCTTTCTGCAGCGCCGCCCCCCCCCTTCTCTCTCTCCTTTACCCCCCCAATCAGCATCATTACTTAGCGCTAGCAGTCATCAGATCTTTAACCAGCTGAAGAATCTCTTTTCTTAATTCAGTAACAGCAGGCGGAGTAACTTGCTCCTCAACAGAAGAAAACCAAAGATCCTTCTTGTTGCTCAATTTAGCAGTTTCATGCCAGCAACATATCGCTCTTGCAGTAGCTATCACATACAACCCACAATCATAACCATTTAGCTGCTGGGGCGAGCTACTACATTGAATGAATTTGGCATCAGATGCTGAATTTGAGCCATTTATAAATCTAACTAGGACTTCGTAGAGTTGCCTGGCATATCGACTATTCATCCCTCGTGAGCTGTCGTGATGCACAAATACACCAGCATCTCTCTCAAACACCAGCAAGCTCCAATGAGAACCACCATCTGCTAGGCCCACATTTTCATTGTCGTTGACTGGGAAAATTACAACTTTCTTACCAGGCAAATCTAGAGGCTCTACGAAATCTTTAAGTCCCTCAACATCAGGGCAGTTTGCTATCCAAAAAGCAATTGAAGGTGGAACCAGTAAAATATCTGGAGAAGGATAGCATGAAGAAAGATAGCTGAAATAGAACTCAATGATACGGTCATTGAGAAAGTATGGACCGCTAAGTATGTCCAGATCCGACCGTCTGAGCAAGACGTCTTTGTAGCTGAGAATCTTTTCATCACCCGAGGATTTTCCCATGATGTGGATCTTGACTGAGACTTCAAATCAATAAACCATGAAGGCGGTTAGGCTGCTGTCGATAAATGTAGATTTATCAGGCAAACAGAAGCCAAAAAGAACAGATGTAGACCTGCCACTTCATTCAAAATAGACAATTTTAGACAGCTAGTGAACTAAAACTATAATCTCAAAAGTGCCAAACAAGTATGGAAAGAATTTCTACCAATGATTGAAAGGCCTAAACTGGCGAACAGACGATCATAATCTTTTAGCTTCTTGCAGTGTTAACTAATATTTCAGTTGCTCGAGCTCTTCAGTAATGCCTGATCGTTGCAAGATAGAAAGATCTCCTTTTCAAATTTTAACTTGGGTGAATTTGCCCTTCATTTTGCCATAGCTACTCCAACAATGAATCATGATTCTATGAAACACCTCTGTAAAAATTCACCCAGCAGTTTCAAATCATTCTCGGTACTGCAGTCCTTTTAAAGCAATCTTATTCCCAATCATAGCATAAGAAGAGACCTAAAAGTTGCACCTTTTCTGGTCAAAGTGTAAACTAGTTTCCTAGAGTGACCCATGACAACCTCAGTAGTTTTAGTTCCAATCCAGAAAACTCGAACTCTTTCAACTGACTTCACTTTCGAGTTTCTACTTCAAATGATGCAACTTTCTCCAACTCGACACTCCTTTTCACACTATCAATTAGGACCCAATTACCAAAGATAATTCCGAGTACCGAAGATCTAATACTTCAGCCCACTTTTGCATGGCTTCTTCCCTCATCTTTCGATTCGTTAACCACGACCGCCATAGAACCTCACAAGTCAACCACATGCCCTTTCTTCGCAGGCTCCGGACAAAGAAGAACTTTCGCCCATATTACTACCATGGGAGAGTCAGTCAGGATTTTCCCAACATCAAATGATGATGAAATCTTCCTACCCATTTCCCCAAAAGACATCCAACCTCAGACACACCTGTGACCACCAGCCTGAACTCCTAATGCCTTCAAAAAAACCACAGACGAAGCCGGGTCACAAACAGCAGACGCAGGCGTGGACACCATGAAGCACCGCCGCGTTCTTCGCTGGCGACAAACTATCAAGAGCAAACAAACTCTCGCCCCCGCCCATCGAATTTGTTCTCCAGAATCCCCCAACTACCAGAGATTTCGTCCACCAAGCAAAGCAAAGCAAAGCAAAGCAAAGCAAAGCAAGTAGGTCAAAGGCGAATTGGGACAGAGACTTACCGGGGCGGCGCGGCGTCACCGGAAAGTGCCGACGCTGGCAAAGAACCCAATTCCTTCCTTCAGATTCTGGTTCGTCGAGCAGAGAAGCAGCAGTTCCGGCAGGGAAGGTGAAGTGGGATTTTCAGGGCCATAAATCAGAATATGGAGGTTTTCATGTCCTCGATTGTAAATTTTCCAGGGCCGAATACGGGGCTTTATTTTTCATTTTTTCATTTTTGTTCCTGGGCCTTATAACCGAACTGGTTCGGGTGGGCCCACTCGAGCGTTGACCATCGCATAAATCGTTGACCCCCCGGGTGATTAAACCAATCGTCATCGCCGTCGTGTCTTTAAAGCGAAACCAACTAAAATTCTTCCTTACCGAGAAGAAAGGGGCGCCCGCCCACCCCACGAAATTACGGTTTTTGCATACGGTCAAGTCACGTGGCTTCTCCCCTCCCCACTCCGCTCGAACGATGCCATGGCGATCGCGAAGTTCTCGTCGCTCTGAATCCACGGCGCTTCCCCTCTCTTCCCCTCGCTCGCCCCAGGCCGAAGCACGGGGGCGTCGTCGCGGCGGTTCCCGTTGAGACCGGCGGAGTCGGTCTAGCACTCGGGATCTGCTGATTCCGTGGATCCACGCGGCGAGGTCAATCTGAGCGCCATCCTCTGCGATCTCTCTCTCTCTCTCTCTCCGCCGGAGTGTCGGAGGGGTTGCCGTTTCTGTTCCCGTCGCGTCCGGAAATGGAGGAGTTCGTCGAGAAGTTGCCGGCCATGGATCTGATGCGCTCGGAGCAGATGACCTTCGTCCAGTTCATCATCCCCGTCGAGTCCGCTCACCGTGCCGTGTCCTACCTCGGCGAGGTCGGCCTCGTCCAGTTCCGCGACGTAAGTGTGCTCCGCTCCTATCCGCACTCGACTCGTCCGATTTATGTTGGAATTAGCATCGGTAGACATTTTTTTTTTTCCTTTCCTTTTTTGGCCGCGGAGAAATTTCCGTCGGGTGGAAGAGAATGCCGAACCTTGCGAATTTTAAGTGAGTTTCTGTCGTTACCGTGGAGTATGCTGATAATAGGAATGATCAGGTTAGGCTACGATGGTCTTGTCCTATGGTTCACGCTTGACGTGATGCTACTTGTGAATTGTTCAGCTGAAAGCTGTGTTGGATGTCAATGAGTAGTTTTGATTTCGTTGGTCTAAGTCGATGCTTTTGGCTGCCTGTATAACTTGAAAGTTTGTGAGTGAGATGAAGCACTACGGTCATGCGGACATGTTTTCTCTATTTATTTTTTTTGGGGTGGGGAGGGAGGGGGATGTTTTATGGTTAGTTCAATTTATTCCCATTGTGAACGAGGAATTTCTGGGTTCATATTCGCTATGGAATTTATATTTCATTTGGCTCCTGAGCCAAGGTATTTAGTGGTAATTATATGTGCACATCCTCTCTGCATTTCTCCGGATAGCCATCACTGCGGTTACTTTCTGCATTTGTGTACGAAGAATGATGTAAAGAATACTACTGAGATGTCCACCCAACAATGTTATTTGTTAATTAGAGAAACTCTTTTGACCTTGTGGATTGCTTGACAATTATTGGATCTTTGGACAACTGTTCGCATTTTTTTCTCTTTTGCAGTTAAATGCTGAGAAAAGCCCTTTCCAGAGAACATTTGTTAATCAGGTATCTTTGCAGCAATGGATTGAGTTCATATTGCATGAGCGACACTTGCATAGAGGCATGGAAACTCAGATAAGAAGAATTGTAATTTCGCAATGTGGGTCGTATTACAAGTTAGTGGAAATTTCAGATAAGAAGAATTTTACAGCTTGCACCTTATTTTAGGTTGAAAAAGTTTCTCATTGGTCATGACTTGTTGGAAAAATGGAACATGTAATATGTTTAGGCTTGTGATAATTAACAACATAGGCGGTGCTTCTTTCTAGGATTCAGCCACTTTACGATCGTATTTAATCGCATTCATATGCATAAGGACCTTAAATATCTAGATAGCAATTATGATGTCCATATCATACATTTATGTATATCCAGTCTCTCCTCTATGCATGGCCTCTGTAAGAATAGTCTCTCCTTTGTGGATGTAATAGGGCAAGTTGTGTTCCCAACAACATGCATTTGTTAAATTTCCTTTTAGCTTGTTCTTATTGGCATCTCTATAGGTTTCTTCTTTTGAAAAGACAAATTTACTAAGAATGGGAAGTTCTTCAATTGGAATGAACTATGGCTCTCAACTTGTGCTCCAAACTTTATGAAGTTCTAATAGAACACAGTTACAATCAAATTAGATGTTTTGGAGATCATAGGAGAAATCTATCTGCAGATTCACATCGTGTGATTTTCTACTTAGGTGAAACGTTGTGGGGAGATGTCAAGGAAATTGCGGTTTTTTAGAGATCAAGTTGGTAAAGCTGGTATAATGTCTCCTGAGAATCCAGTTGTGCAACCAGATGTTGTGTTGGAGGAACTAGAGGTTCTTCTCAGCTTACTGCTTTCCTCCTCTCTTCAACCTTTTTATTCCATCTTACTTGATTTTAATTTCTTAAGGGATGTTCATTGCGCCAGATTTTTCCTGTCTAATTTTAATACTTCTTTGCTTCCAGATTCAGCTTGCTGAACATGAACATGAGCTTATTGAAATGAACTCTAACAGTGAGCGTCTCAGACAATCTTACAATGAGTTACTGGAATTTAAGATGGTATTGCAAGAGGTTAGTCTCATTTTCTTTCAAGTCTTATGGAGATATTCATTTCCTTTCCAGAGAGGCCTTTATCCTTTTTTGATATATCTATATATTGGAGAAATGTCATTTGTCGCATCCTCCTTCACTTTTGTTTCCAGTTTCCACCCATTTTTCCCCTTTTATATTTCAACGGGCATGTGTCATCACTGTTTTGTCATAGATTGATTACTCGGTATTATGGTGCAAATCCTAGCAGTACTAGCTTATCTTGCTGCTCTGCTGTGTTCATAATTGTAATCAAGCTGTGTGTGTGTGGGTGGGTGGTTACTCATTGTCATTTTATATGCAGATGTGCTTTAAAGCATTGTATGTGGAGGAAATAATGGCCTTCCCTGTGGGAAAGCAAACTTGCATATCTTTTTTTTTTTTTGATAACCCAGGAACCCCCCGTACGGCCGACAGCCGGAGGGGTAAACCTGGGGTGACGCTAGCGCAGGACCCACCACCACGGCGCCACACTTAAGAATCCCTAAAACTTGCATATCTTTGTATTTAATCAATCCAAGCTTTGGCATAGGACCTTATTAGCCCTCTGATTTCCGGCTTTTTAGTTCTAAGACTTCTTGATTAAGTAAATACGCCATGTATTAGATAGCCTAATTTTAGATGTGTTGGTTTATCTGAGAGTGACGGTATTTTAGTTGCTTTACATGGTTTGTCCATTTGTAAAGTAAAACACCATAACAAAGTGAGTGTCAAGAGTCAAACTTATGTTTTCAGATTCAAACTTTGAGAACTCTTCCTTTGCATTAATATATATTTCCTTGGGTGATGCTGCCAGGCAGGTGGCTTTCTTTTCTCAGGAAAGAACCATCCTGTTGCAGAAGAGAGAGAATTGGATGAAACTGCATACTCAAACGACTATGTTGAGACTGCTTCCTTACTTGAAAAGGTACTTACTGCAAGTGGCCTCTTGGAAATCTTTGCTCTGCTGTATGATTTATCTTGGATTGCGTTTTTCTTTTCCAAGGAGATGAAACCAGGAACATTGGAACAATCTGGTTTGAACTATATCAGCGGGATAATTTGCCAGACCAAAATACTTATGTTTGAGAGGATGCTTTTTCGTGCGACAAGAGGCAATATGCTTTTCAACCAGGCACCAGCTAATGAAGGCATCATGGACCCTGTAACATCTGAAATGGTTCTTTTCTTTACAACTCTTCCTGAGATTGGTGATTTTTTTCTATTGTTTAGTGTCTTGGAGTTGCCAAACTTTTTTTGCCTGTTTCACTCCTTAAAATATTTTTATCTTTCAAGCCGCTTGGTAGTGTTCTTGCTTGAAAATAGCGAAGAAAATTTTAGCTGGTCGGTAGAACTGTTTCTTCAGCGAATTTTTCTGTTTTAGCATGAGAATCTTTATTTCTCTGACTTATATTTATGCAGGTTGATAAAGTTGTTTTTTTGGTTTATTTCTCTGGAGAGCAAGCAAGGAAGAAGATTAGAAAAATTTGTGAAGCATTTGGTGCAAACTGTTATCCTGTTCCAGATGATATTACCAAACAAAGGCAAATGACTAGAGAAGTGAGTGCACTAATGACGCCAAGAATATGTCTTTCGCTTGCATGATACAGAAATTTTGAAATAAAGTAAATATAGTTTTTTTTTATAATTATGACCTACTAGTATGATCATCCATTGGAAGTTTTTTCCATTAATGCATAATATGTTGATAGATAAAGTTTTTGCCAACTATATCTTGAATGTATAATATGGATGTTGTTCATCCATGTAATTAGCTAGATATCTTAGCCTCTTAACTGTGTAATAACATATGCTCTGTCTTGCACTAACAAAGCCCTTTGTATCTTGTCTGAAACTTGAGGTTCTGTGTTAGGTTTTGTCACGTCTTTCTGAGCTGGAAGCAACCCTGGATGCGGGGATACGTCATCGAAATACAGCCCTTAGTTCCATAAGCCTCCATCTGCCAAAATGGACAAACCTGGTAAGATATGTTTCTTCCCCTTCTTCCTTAATTCAAACCATCAAAGGTTCATTAGCTGAGGCTTTCTTTTCCTTTTCTCCCTTTCTGGTAATCAATTACTTTATTTTTGGTTCTTTCTTAGGTAAGAAGGGAGAAAGCAGTATATGATACATTGAATATGCTTAATTTTGATGTTACGAAAAAGTGTCTTGTTGGAGAAGGATGGTGCCCAATCTTTGCCAAAGCTAAGGTGATTAACATGTTTTATTCTTCTGTTATCCTCGTCTTATCTAGGTTTCTTATGCTTGATTTTAATTTGCATTCGACACTTTAGGTTTTGAGAATTTTAAGGCTTTTTTCTATCCTTGCAGATCCAGGAGGTGCTGCAGCGTGCAACATTTGATAGTAATTCACAAGTGGGCATCATATTTCATACGATGGATGCAGTAGAATCTCCACCAACATTTTTTAGAACCAATAAGTTTACAAATGCATATCAGGAAATTGTTGATGCATATGGGTGAGTTTAATCACGCTTACATCTTTAAGCATATAGAGGCATTTAGGCACTTCGTGATTTTATATAGATCTGTGACTGTTCTAAACTATAACACAACATTTTTGTATGTAACATGTAGTCATATATATTTAACAGATTCATTGTCTTAGGTTCTTCTTGGGTTAAGTAAGTAGATTAGCTTGCAGTACAAATTCTAAGTGTTTGCATTTTGAATTTCTGCATAGGTTATTTCTCTTCTCTTCTGATCCAAAGTGCTTCATACTTCATGATTATATCCTTGTCAGAAAATTTGATTGATTTTGTAATTTGTCTCGTTCAGCTTATATGATTCTTTGACTTTTGAAAGGAGTCCAACTGTTGTATTCCACTGATATTATTTTCTTTTCTGAGGCAGAGTTGCCAGGTATCAAGAAGCAAATCCTGCAGTATACACCGTCGTTACATTTCCATTTCTTTTTGCGGTCATGTTTGGGGATTGGGGTCATGGGATATGCTTGTTGTTGGGAGCTTTAGTCCTCATTGCTCAGGAAAGTAAGCTCAGTAATAAGGTATGTTGTGTCTAAAAGAGTAATGATTGATTTTTTCACTCAAAGATGTTTGTATCTCTAGCTTTTTCAAAGCAATTTAACTTTCGGAATCTCTCCCTCTCTCACACACACCAACACAGACACGCATACACACACATACAACATACGCATACGCGCATGTGCATTCACACGCACAGGGGCTGCTTTATTTGTATACATGCTTGGTTTCACGTTGATTTGATGAATTTCTCATGGTGGATTGCATTTCTGACAGAAACTGGGCAGCTTTATGGAGATGTTATTTGGCGGACGTTATGTTCTCCTTTTGATGTCCCTATTTTCAATATACTGTGGGTTGATTTACAACGAATTCTTCTCTGTACCATTTCACATATTTGGTCGGTCTGCTTACAAATGTCGGGATACTACTTGCAGGTTTGGCTTGATCTATTTGGAAGTTGTCTTTGTATGTTGAAAATTTACTGGATTCTGAGTACAATTGGGCAGCTCATTGTTGTTTGGTCTAAAGTGTATTTTTTAAATTGTAGCCCTACTGGTTCTCATTAATTGTATAGCTCCATCACTACTCAAGATTCACATGCTTACAGCAGAAGCATATTGGAGAAGTTTTTTTCCTCAGTTTTTCCACAATTTCAATTTTGTAGATCTTTTTTCTCTTTGTTAGCACTTAGCTATTGACCAACCTGACAATCAATCAAGCATCATAATGTGTGTGTCGGATAGTCATCATAGTCCTAGTTATTAACGTACCTGTATAGCTGTGAATTGGTTTGGCTTTGGGATCTTGGCTCTTTGCTCTTAGGTTTACTTTTAACAATCGATGTACAACTTTTTATTTTTTATGTTGATCCCTTAAAATTTCTACTAAGATTAATGTTAGCACTTCTAAGTCGCCCAAATTTTTTTTGTACTTTTCATAAATCAAAGTGTTATTTTTTTTTTGTAGGAAACTATAAACTGGCATGTCAGCATGTTAGTTTCTTGATAAATGGACTACAGTTGAACTGGTAGTGCTTTTTCTGGAAATTTTTTTGAAGTTATTGAGGTTATTTTAGTCTGCTTGCTGTGTTCTAGTTTTGGATGCCAGAGATTGGTTGGGAGTTGCTTGAAATTGTTTTCAGAGTAGTATCTTCAAACTGGTGATGGGATTTGACCTCCAGTTCATATCACACTGATGACAAACGGGTGGCAGGGGTTCCAAAATGTGCAAGTGCTAGTTCAAACTATTGAAAAGATACAGGATTTGTTCAAGTCTAGGCGACATTTTTGGATGCATAGTTTATAATGATTGATTTTCTTCAGGTCAATGTAGAATGTTTTAGATATAGATTTTATAGATATATCTATTTCATTATACTACCACTTTGTTTTGATGGAAAATGAAGGGTGCCTGAACTTGTATATGTATTGTACAGATCCCTCTGTTGTTAAAAAAGACCAACAGACTTATATACTCTAAACAAAACATTATGTATTAGGTAGACTAAATTTACATGTCTAGCTGTCATTCATGAGCCATCCCGCTCTTGATTTCATCATATAATCTTTTACTAAGGACCATTTCAAAATTGTGAAGGTTCTTGCTTTTTTTGTTGCATTTGCATATGACCAGATTAACACGATATCTCTGTTTAGTTCTGTCTCATATGTATTCTCATAATTTACTTATTCTGCTTGCTTTGACCAGTGATGCACAATCGGCTGGTTTAATTAAATACCGAGATCCTTATCCATTCGGTGTGGATCCTAGTTGGCGTGGAAGTCGTTCTGAACTTCCTTTTTTGAACTCGCTCAAGATGAAGATGTCTATTCTATTGGGTGTGGTGCAAATGAATTTAGGGATCATTATGAGTTATTTCAATGCAAGATATTTTGAAAGTTCTCTGGATATCAGGTGTGTTTTCCCTCCTCGAAACATCTGTCTCCTTCTCTCCAGAGCTGATGCTGATATCACACTTTCACGTGAGAATATGCTATGCATATACCTTAGCTCATCTAGATACAAAGCATGAGAATATTGAACTCACTTTTATTTTGTTTTAGGTATCAGTTTGTGCCGCAGATGATTTTTCTCAACAGCCTTTTTGGATATCTTTCACTTCTTATTGTTATCAAGTGGTGCACCGGTTCTCAAGCCGATCTTTACCATGTTATGATTTACATGTTTCTGAGTCCTACTGATGATCTTGGGGAGAACCAACTGTTTTGGGGCCAGCGGCCACTTCAGGTATAATGTACTTGCTTTGATTACATTGATGTGTATCATTTATTCTTGTGTTTCTTATTGTCATCACTTATGTGAAACTTTGCAGATCCTTCTATTGCTTTTGGCTCTTATTGCTGTCCCATGGATGCTCTTTCCAAAACCTTTTATATTGAAAAGGCTTCACATTGAGGTACATTACTTGTTAAATGTCTCCTTTTTTCCTTTGTTTTAGCTAATTATTTCTGTTTCCTTCTCTTTTAAGCTTTAATAAATTAAAGACAACTTCCTTTAGGTTATTTTGATAGAAAGAACTAGTCAGTTCATGGATTAATAAAATTGATTTTATCTTTTTCTCCATATATGAGCTTTTCTCTAAAGAACTTGAGGTTTGTGAGTGAAGTTTATGTCTTTATTTGGTTACAGTAATTATCAACTTATAAAATGTTCGATCATATCAAACTGTGGGTGGAGTGAAACATAATTCAGTGTAATGTTGGTTTAAATTTTTTACTGGCATGTGCGACACAAAATCAGTTCCGATGGATTTTATTGTACTCCCAATCCCATCTTATCCCTTGAAGTCTAATGAATGTTGATTTCCAACCAATACATTGAACGCGGGAAAGGAGATGTGGAGAGTGATAGTGTCTCTCCTCTGGAACAGTTTGAAAAAAGGATCACAGATAAATTAGGATGTTTCTTTGTCTAACGGATGTTGTTTCCTTGTCATGCCTTCAGCGATTCCAAGGTCGTACTTACGGGGTGCTTGGTATTTCTGAGATGGATGTTGAAGCAGAACCTGATTCTGCCCGCTCCTGGCAACATCACGACGATTTTAATTTCAGTGAGGTTTTTGTGCATCAAATGATACACTCTATAGAATTTGTCTTAGGTGCTGTTTCCAATACGGCTTCTTATCTTCGTCTTTGGGCTTTGAGGTACGTCTATTTGCCTTTTCCTTTATTTTGAGCCCTCCATTCATATAATGGCGCTGATGACTGTGGCTGCTTTTATAGCTTGGCCCACTCGGAATTGTCGACGGTCTTCTACGAGAAAGTGCTCCTACTTGCCTGGGGGTAAGTTTGGCTTCAATTTCAGGCCTTTGCATTACTTCCGTCCTGCTGGAGAAAGAATGTTTTCACTTATTTTGTTATTCAGCGTATGAGTATGTTCATGATGATTTAGATTTCTGAACTTTTATGTCAAAGTAATGCAGCCTGCCTAAGTCTTGTTGTCCAGTAGCTCAGCAGCTAACCTTTTTTGTGCTCCAAAATTAGAATAGTTTGGTCTGTTACTTAGATTGTGGGGCACTTGTCAATATCATAATGTTTGTGAAGTGGGTTATGTTCTCATATCTTTAGAAAGCTAGGAATTTCGTTCTATTGTTTGCACTTTGAACTTACGTAAATTTAGATTTAACTTTTAATAAAGCAAGTGCAATTTGATCACTGTAGAATCAGCTTGGTCCTATACTATAGTCATGATCCTTCTATTTTTATTATCTAGAACTTGAAACTAATGTTTACATCAAGTCATCAGGAGATGCACCCATCCATATTATTTGATGGAGAAGCTTAGCTTGGTGGGTGCAGGATTTTACATTTAAGGCATGTATGATAAAATTGAATGTACCGAAGTCTTAAGTGCTGAACTTTAGTGTTGACAATTGTAAGTGCTGAACAGGGAATGTAGATTTGTTTGATAATAAACGATCAATGTCGAGTAACAAATAAAGTGCCAAATAGAGCTTAGAAAGATATGGCCGGCACCAACCGTGCTTGGCCCAGCCTAGCCCGCTGAAGTAAATAGGCCGTTCCAGGCCGGGCCCGGTCACCATTTTCTACCCCTGCCTGGTCACATTATCACATAACTTGTTTATCTGTACCTGGTCATCATGTCTTAATGCATATTGGTTTAGAAAAGGTCATAACAATGAAGTAGGCTACCTCTTCGTTTTCTTTTTAGGGTATTGGGCTACCGTATGTCTGATGATGTGCGACAAAGTAATCATAGTTTTGGTTATTGCAGGTATGACAACGTGATCATTCGGTTGGTGGGTATCGCCGTTTTTGCTTTTGCGACTGCCTTCATTCTTCTAATGATGGAGACCCTGAGCGCTTTTCTTCATGCCCTGCGTCTTCATTGGGTAGAATTTCAAAATAAGTTCTACCATGGTGACGGTTACAAGTTTAAACCTTTCTCCTTTGCATTATTAAACGATGATGATGAGTAATCACAAACCTGTTATCCCAATTTTGAGACTTAGGATATTTAGAAAGGAAGGATTTAACTAATGAAACAAGGAGCAGAGAATGCGCCGAAAAATAACGGTATCCCTGAAGTGCTTTTCAGGTTTTATAACATAGTGCTTGATACGTAGTACATTCGTGGAAGATAGTCTTAGTTTCTTTCACCCTGTCAGTATATACGAGGGTCACCTGGAGGAAGTCTATTTCATTCGTCTTTTGCTACAAATTTTTCTTCGAGTAGGATCATCACTTGTAAAGAGGGAGCCATGGAGCTATTTTACCTTACAAATTTTGGCGTCGAGTTCCCTCGAAGTCAGATATGTAAATTTCACTCTGAAGCTAGCTTGGATTTGAGGAAATAAGCAATTTTTATTTCCATTGTTTGCAATACGAGTAATTTCTGGCACGGTGGGCTGTCTGTCTTTGTGAGAACTGTTGACAGTCTACATTGAATAGAACTTCTGATGCGGAAGAGAATGGATGATCGCTCTGTCTATGTTTTTTGAGTTGTTTCAGTGGCTCTTTCCCCCGTATCCTATCTCCTACGTTGTAAGGGAGCTGGTTTCTTATTTCTTATTTATTAGAAATTTTCTATTTACTAGGAGTAGAGTTATACAGGTTGTAGCCCTATAAATACCGACTTTGCAAATTTTGTTGCAGGAATTGTCTCTTTCTATCTTCTGAGCTCTTCATTTTGTGTCATTTGATTCTTCAACCTTGCCCGGCATTCCGATGTATCTGCAATATTTTTGTACTCGTGGTTGTAAATACTTCTCGAGTGATGAAGTTTGGATGAAATCAAATTCGTAAATGCTTGAATTGGATTAAATTTAGTAGTGTTCGGTTACCTTCTTTCTGGAGAACAGGGACCGAACCTATTGATTGCATTTTTACAAAGCAGCAGCATTGAGATGGCCATTCATTTCATTCTCTGGACCATTCTTGACAGCAAGGTCTAAATTGTTTTTGAATATATGACTATTTTTTATACCGGGGGCGCCCATTTTAGGTTCACACCAAAGCTTTTTGGCAATCTGAATATATGTGATCGATTGCGCTTAATGGTTTGTAAAATCGAATCTATATCGCGTGTATAATCCGATATTGACTCCCTTTAAAGCTCATACAGACTATTGTGCTTGATTCTCTCATTATGATCAGGGCATTTCGAACAATGTTTTCTACTCTACCTAGCATATCAACACCCAAATGGATCTAAAGAACTTAAAGAAAATAGGTTCTTCAATTCTGGAATATGCCTTACTCTAATGTCTTTTAAGATACCGTCATGTATTCTGATACTAACATTAGTAAGACTTGACATCACATTCAAAGTTATTCCTTAAGTGTAATTTACCACTATCTATGCACTGATAAATAATACGCTAAATTTTGTTTGGTGTAGCATGAAAATAACAACCCGAATCCATTACTCACTCGTCACTATCTATGCATTGATAAATAGTAAGTCAGATTATGTCTGGTGTAGCGTGAAAATAACAGTGAAAATCCATTACTCACTCATCAAATGAGGACTTGACATATGACACCTAATCATCATCATTCACATTATTGGCTATTGTAACAATGTCATCATTAGATTCAACTCTAATTTCTTTGCCCTTTTCGTTCTTCAGCTTAAGGCAATCAGTTTTGAGATGCCTTCTCTTGCTGCAATTTCAACAAACAACATCACTAGTAAGATTAACTACATTTGTTCAAGTTCGTGCTACCTCTGCTAACACGAGTACTAGTTCTTCATTTACCTTCGCTACTAAACTAGTAGGCACCAAGTATTACTAGAAACAATAAATGTACTCAGAATTAAATTATGAAACTCATCATACATCAAGCTTCTTAATATAGATGTAATACTAAAAACTGTAAGAGTAGTATTCCAAGAATTGGTGATGATGATAGTAGAATCAAAACACGTATCTCATTATCAACGTCAATCTTAACCATACTGAATTGTCTAATGATCACATTAAATTCATTGATATACTCAACATCCAACACACATTCGCCCATCTTTTGTGAAACAGGTGTCGCATCAAGTACACTTTGTTGATCATAGATGGCTTATCGTACATGTTTACAATGTTAAATGCGACATTACGTGTCAACTTTAGCCGAATAACATCCACTACTTGTTTATCCATCAAATCCCAGTTAGCTTGTTTCATCGACTCTAGCTTCACCCTAGACAGGGGTAAATGTAGATCCCTTTGGTACAAATATTGCTCCATCTACATATTCCAAAAATCAAAACCCTTCCCATCAATTCTGCTAATTTTCACTTTTCTTTCTTCCGTCGCATTTGATTGCCTTCAACTTAGTCAAGCTTGGCTCTAGTATCTATTGTTACGAAAGGAAAACAATCAAACAAAATAATGAACGTAATAAGCAAATTAATTGGACACTAAATTTACATGATCAATCGGTGGAACCGACTCCATGGGCAAAGCAACACATGATTCCACTATAGATCAAGAGATATAATAAAGATTGAAACCACACTCACTGTCACTCAAACATTCTTAGTATTTCCCAACCTCGAATTATCACCCAATATTTCACATAGTATTTAACCCTTACAATTCTTCACTAAACAATTTTTTAATCTCATGAAAGAATACACAAATCTTATCACATGATTTATTGGCTTGAAGACTCGTTACTTACATACAATTCATGAAAAGGACCCTCTTCTTAGCAACATATTATTTGAATTCAAAATAGGAAATCCTTTTTAGAAAGCCTACTCAAATTGAGCACTCAGATTAGGAAACCTACTTGAATCGGATTTCCTTCACGATCTCAAACTAGAGACACATTCTCAATAATGCGCAGGTGTTGAAAATCTTCTCATCCTTTTTATTGGACCACTTCACCATTTTCTCAGTTTTGCTTTTTTGCTAAATCATTGGCTTGTCCTCCCTTGGATGTTACACACACAATATCATCATTTTTCTCCGGCTTAAACGATTAATGTTCGTCAACTTAAAGTACGATGAACGGTTGAGAAATCGAATTACTCGTAAGAGATGAGATTCGAGACATGCATTGCTGGTCTAAGGGTTAAGATGCTCCCACATCAAGATGCTCAACTTTTACAAAGTGTATTGCTGAGAGATAATAATTGATAACGAATGATGGAGATATTAATAGTTCCTGAGAGAGATTGTTGGAGGCATTGCATTGCTCGTCTAAAGGTTGAGGTGCTCTCACATGAAGATGCTCGACCTTTACGCATTGTATTGCGGAGAGATATTAATTCACGATGAATGTTCGATGACTCAATTTGCAAATAATGGACAAGAAATTATTATATTCCTGAAAGAAATTATTCGAGGCATTGCATTGCTGGCCTAGTGGTGGTTGAGATGCTCCCACTTCAAAATGCCAGCCTATCAGCTTTCACAAAATGTAAGCAAAACGCATGCACAATGAGCATGGGGTAGAACCATTGTCGTAAAGACAACACGATGACATCTGAATTGGATTCGATTGGACTTTGGTTTTCAAATTAACTAACGACCAAAGAGGGGGGGAACTCGTTGTAATGTTTCATGGCTCATCTCGTGCATATAAGACTGCTTTAGTGACTAGAATGATGTGTTAAGCTGTGTATGAATTGGGACGCATGAGGACCCAATGCACCTATCCAATAAGAAATTTGTCACGTTATTTCGGAAACCAAACTTCTAACGTGAATTAGTTTTTAATAGTTAGCTCGATTGTTTAGAATTAGCCTATTGATGCCATAGCAATTCAAGAAGATCTGAGAGAGATTGTCGTTTATCTCTTGAAAGTGCTCATTAAGGTTTTGTTTGTCTTGCAGAAAACATTTTCTAGGATAATATTTTTCTTATTTTCTAGCATTTGGTTCATTTAGGAAAATGAGTCAACGGAAAATATTTTCTCATTCAATGGAAAACTTATGCTTAAATTCAAGAAAATGATTTCCTTTTTTGAAAAACTAGATATATTTTCCAAAATATGACTAGGCATCGGCATTTGCACCTGAAATTCTATGTGCCCCGGGTCCACGGCGTCTGGGACTAGGTCTCCGGCGCCTGAGCCCGGGTCCATCGAGGCCAAGATTGGACCTAGTACCCCGACGCCCATGCCTGTGTCATCGAGGCTAGGCTCGAAGCCTCGGTGCTTGTGCCAGATGTCCCGACACCCGAGCCCAGGTCCATAAATGCCGTACTTGGATCCCCGATGCTTGAGCTATGGTCTTTGGCACTCAAGCTTAGGCTCACAAAGGTTGAGCGCGGGTCCTCGGTGCTTGGGTCCTTAGTTACTAAATCATTCATTCTTATAAAAATATATTTTTAGAAAAATCAAAATTTTAATTATTTTTTCCTTTTCTTTTCCTTATTCTTCGACTGGCCACAGGTGAGGACAAGCTCGCCCAAGGCCGGCGAGACTCCACCTCACCAGATCTGGCGAGGTCAAGCTCGCCCGAGGCTAGTGAGCTCAAGGCCTTGCCAAAGGAAACACGCGTCTGCGAATCCCGTGAGCCAGAGGCGTGACGCTTCCTTCATCTTCAATCTCACATCCTCCATCCATGGCTTCACAGACTCCATGGGCAATTGAGGTTGCTTGGAGTTGAGAAATAGAGAGGGACTTGGAATTCTGACCTCGCTTGTGGTCGGTCGTTGGCTGTCGACGTAATCGGTAACCGGCCAAACAAGAAGGAAAGGAAAACAAAGAAAAGAAAAAGAAAAAGAAATTCGACTTTTTTTAAAAAGAAAAGAAAAGAAATATAAAATAAAAAAAATTGTTAATAGGAGTGTGCGGAAAAAAATCAAATCAAATTTTTCATACCAAAAGGCAAAAAATATTTTTTAGTTCATTTTCGGGTTTCAGCCAAACACCGAAAAAAATATGTTTCCTGAAAAATATGTTTCCTGAAAAATAACTTCTTAACAAATTGTTAATATGTTTTCTCGAAATAAATAGAGCTGTTAGTCCTCTCCCACCATCCTTTTCCAATATCATCTCCTTCAACCGGCTGCGCATGGGAAAATTGCCAAAAAAGTCCTAAACCTTTTGTAGTCGTGTCAATTCAGTTCTAAAACCTTTTTTTTTTGCCAATTCAGTCCTAAACCTTTTGCAATTCAGCCAATTCAGTTCTTTTGGCCGGTCGGAGCTAACGTGGACGCCGGCCGGCGCTGACGTGGACACCGGCCGGCGCTGACGTGGACGCCGGCCAGTAACGTGGCAATATTTTAATATTTTTTTCGAATTTTTTTTTCCTTTCTCTTTTTTTTTTCTTTTCCTTCTTCCCCCTGGCCAGTCCGGCCAGGGGGAAGCTCGCCGGCGAGGTCCACTGGGGAGGCTCGCCGTCGCCGGGCAAGGCGAGGCGACCTCGCCCAGCCTCGCCACGGCTATGCG